GAACTGGGGAACTCTCTCAGAGGAGGGCTGACACAGCTCTTAGCACACTGTGACCTGCAAGCTGCACCAGCACACTGCCTTGCGCAGTGGCGGTCCTGAGTTGACTTCTTGGACCACAAGGACGGGCGGGGTCTAGTGGAGTCCACTGTGACCTGGCTCAGCCTTGGTGCAGCGCTCTCAAGCCTCTCTCAACATGGGGTCCCTTTAACAGATAAGGCAGGCATGGGACTTGGTTAAATCTTAAACAGGTGGGTAGGAAGAGGGGGCATAGCTGTGATCCTGTCAGGGAGGAGGAGTGAGGAAGATCTTGAGTATAAGATCAGGCACAAAGCTATGCAGAGAAACCCTGTCTCGAAAAAAAAAAAAAAAAAAAAGATGAACGGGCTGGGGGCACAGTTGCCTCAGCTGGTAAAGTATTTGCCTTGCAAGTATGAGGACCTGAGTTTATCCTAAGAACACAAGTGTGGGAGTTGGAAAGAAAATGGCCCCCATAGGGAGTGACACTATTAGGAGGTGTGGCCTTGTTGGAGGAAGTGTGTCACTGTGGGGGTAGGCTTTGAGATCTCCTATGCTCAAGCTATGCCCAGTGACACAGTTCACTTTTTGTTGCCTTCAGATCAAGATGTAGAACTCTCAGCTACTTCTCCAGCATCATGTCTGTCTGCTGTGGGATATCCTGTATGTTGTGAATATATGTTACTATGATTGATTGATAAAATAAAATGCTGATTGGCCAGTAGCCAGGCGGGAAGTACAGGATAGGTGGGACAAACAGAGAGGAGAGGCTGGGAGGTGGAAGCCGAGGGGAGATGCCAGCCTGCCGTCTAGGGAGCAACATGTAAAGGCAACAGGTAAAGCCATGGAACACATGGTGACATACAGATTAACAGAAATGGGCTGAGTCAAGTGTAAGAGCTAGACAGTGATAGGCCTGAGCTAATGGCCCAGCAGTTTAATTAATATAAGTTTCTGAGTGATTATTTTATAAGTGGTTGTGGGGTCCGTGGTGCTGGGCAGGACTGGAGATAACTCCAGCTACATCTGCCTGCATGCCACCATGTTCCGCCATGACGATAATGGACTAAACCTCTGAAACTGTAAGCCACCACCCCAATTAAATGTTTTCCTTTATAAGAGTTGCCATGGTCATGGTGTCTCTTCACAGCAATAGAAACCCTAATTGAGACAACAGGTAAAATGGAAAAAAAAAATCTGGGAGCTGGGCGGTGGTGCGCTCCTTTAATCTCAGCACTCAGAAGGCAGAGGCAGGTGGATCTCTGAGTTAGAGGCCAGCCTGGTCTACAGAGTGAGCTCCAGGACAGCCAGGGCTACACAGAGAATCCTGTATTGAAAAAGAAAACAAAGAAGCTGGGCATGGTGGTGTGCGTTGTAATCCTAGTGCTGTGAAGGCAGAGAGAGGAGGATGCCTGGGGCTTGCATGTCAGCCACCTTAAACAATTGGTGAACTTGAGGCCAGTGAGAGACCCTGTATCAACACAATCAAGGTGGACAGTACTTAAGTGTACTGGCTAGTTTTATGTCAACTCGACACAAGCTAGAGTTATCAGAGGAGGGAACCTCAAATGAGAAAAATCCTCTATAAGATCAGGCTATAGGCAAGCCTGTAGGGCATTTCTTAATTAGTGATTTATGGTGGAGGGTCCAGCCCATTGTGGGTGGTGCCATCCCTGGGCTGATGGTCCTGGGGTCTTTAAGAAAGCAGGCTGAGCAAGCCATGATGAGTAAGCCAGTAAGCAGCACCCCTTAAGGGCCCCTGCATCTGCTCTCTGCTCCTGACTCCAGGTTCCTGCCCTGCTTGAGTTCTTGCTCCGGCTTTCTTTGATGATGAACTGTGGTGTGGAAGTGTAAGCTGAATAAGTCTTTTCCTCCCTAAGTAGCTTTGGTCATGGTGTTTCATCACAACAATAGTGACACAACAATAGTGACACTAACTAAGACACTGAGGAACAATGCCTGAGGTTGTCTTCTGGCCTCCACATGCACAAACACACATGCGAGCACATATACACATTATCTGCAAACACATGAGCATACACAAATGCAAATATCACATACCGCTAAACCCCAACAACTCCAAAAGTGAGTCCTCTGGGTTGTTTGTGTGGCATTGTTCATTCCTGGCAAGTTGGCATGCTGAATCATGACTGTCTAGGGAAGGCATGCCTGTGTCCTAATCTCTGGAACCTGTGGTCATGACTATTTGGCACTAGGGTCTCTGCAGATGTCAGCAGGCTGAGGATGTTATGAGGTCATCTTGGATCAGGGTGGGTCCTTGTCCCGTGATTGATGTCTTCAGGGAAGGGAGAGGGTTATGAGGCATGGAGACCCAGAGTCATGTGACCATGGACCTAGAGCCTGGTGACACACCCATTAGGACACTGAGGCTTACAGAGCATGAGAAACTGGGAGAGAGGCACAGAATGGGGTCTCCTTGTGCTGTGCTGAGCTTGAGCTTGCCTTTGTGGCCTCTATGGTCATTTCCACCCTGCTAGGAGTGTGTTAGCATAGCCTGGGACCAAGGCAAGGCAGGGTCCTCTATCCCAGGTGCGACCTCCAACTTCAATACCCTAGGTTGAGAAGGAGAGTCAGGCTCACGGGTGTGTCTGGATGAGTGCAGCTGCTGTCAGGAGGGGAGGCTGAGCATCAGAAGAGGGGCAGGGCCCAGGTGCCAGGTTAACCGCAGAGCCTGGTACCTAGGGTCTATGGCAGTGGGTTCCAGCTGTGGGTAAATGCAGTGGTAGTCTGCGTGGTAGAACCATGAGCAGGGCGATGCTGGGGCACCATGGCCTGCAGGGGAGAGCAAGGTATGCAAGCTTGCCGTTGGGCATCATGTACCCCAGAGTGAATTCCTGGGGAACCCCAAGTGTCTAGTTATGCCAAACCCACCTTCCTGTGGAGAAAAACATGTTAGGCCTTGAGGCTTCTTTCCCAGTACCCTGAAGAGCCATGGAGGGGCAGGCAGAGGCAGAAGAGGCTTCTCTTAGCGGGCTGCTTGGGATGTGGTCCTCCCCTCCAGGGAGGGACTCAGGCTGCTGGCAGGCAGGCTCAGGATGCTGCTGCCTGCCCTTACCTGCCCCTCCTGCCTGCAGTGGGCAGGACACACTAGGAGAGATCTCCAAGGAGACAGTGACAGGAGCTGATCTGCAGGGGGACACCTCCAGTCTTGGGGTGAGAACACAAGAGGAAGATGGTAAGTGCCTGGCCCTGAGCCACCACATCAGCCACAGGGGAGTCCTGGTTGGGATTGGACAGATTCCAGAGAGAATCAATTGGTAAAGAGCTGGGGAATAAGTGCTTGGGAAAGGACTTGCCTTGCAAGCATGAGGCCCTGAGTTCAATGCCCAGAACCCATGTATATATGCAAGCTAGGAGAGGTGACGCTGGAGAGGCAGAGAGAGGATTCCTGGGGTTTGCTGCTGGCCAGCCAGCCTAGGCAGTGAACTCTTGGCAAAGAGACGGGTTCTGTCTCCAAACAAACCCACTGGAGAGTGACTGAGAGATGTCAACCATGGCTGACTCTGGCTTCCACCTTCCACACACAAGCATGGATGTTCACACACACATTCCAAGCCACTAGGACTGACTAGGAGTCACCTAGCTCTCCCCACTTTGAGGCTACCTTCCTGAATTCACGTATAGTAAGTTCCTTCTCTAGACTGAAGCCACCAAGACATGCATATGCCCACATGTCCAAAGCAGGGCTGCTGTGAGGGTGAAGGAAGCTGTGAGGGAGGGTGGGTGGAGCAGCAAGCCATTGGGTAGCAAGCACAGCACTGTAAGGTGGGCTCTGGGCCACCCCGAGTGGGCCCTTCCTCTGAGTCCAGGGAGTGCTAAGGGCTCTCAGTGGGTGAACTGTAGGGATCCTGATGACTAGATCTGGGAGGTGCTTCTAGTTTTGGACTTGAATTCCAGATGATTCCAACACTTATCCATTCTGTGGAATGCTGCTGAACCCTCTTCCTCCTGTCCCAGCCTGGGGACCTGCCCCTCTGCCATGCAGGTTTCGGATCAGGATGACGGCACAAGGCCTACCTCCTGTTTCCTCATCTGTATACAAGGACAGCACCCGGGTCTCTCCACCCCTGAGGGCCTGGCTCTTGGAGACCCAGGATAGGCAGGGAGATAGCTGAACCCCCTGACAAGTGCTGTTCCTGGCCCCTGTCCATCCCTAGGTCACCCCCGCTCCTGTGCATCTTTCCAGTATGTTCCTTCCATACACTGAAGCTCTTCAGACATGTGAGTGACCACAGAACGAAGCAGGGCTGCTGTGAGGTAAAGGGGGCTGAAGGTAAGCCTTTGGTTGATGCCCCAGTGAGCAGAGGCCACTTGGGAACTCCACTTAAGGGACCCCAGAGCCTCCCCAGGCCCAGACATCATGGCTGGGCTTCCAAGGAAACAGGACAACCACAGAATAGGCCAGAAGAGGAAGTAGGCTGTGCTGTGGGCTGCATTTTTCCTGTAAGGACTCAGTATGAGGTTGGGTGTCCAGCTTCTCCTTTTGGGTTTGCTCTCAAGGCCCTTATGTTCCCAGGCATTTCTGGGCTAGGTTAAAGCCAGAGCATCTGAAGCTATGAAGAAATCTGTTATTCTAGGTCCAGGGATTTCCAGGGTTCATCTTGGTACATGTTGGGGTATGCAGGAATTGTGACCACCAGTGTTACCTGGCTGTCCCAGGTAAGGAGCCCTTCCTGTCCCTATCCGGACAGGCAGGGTCTCACCAGCCCGTATCACATGATGGAGAGCAGAAGGCTTGGAGCAGCTGAGGCAGAGCAAACCCAAGGTCCTGTCCCCCTTCGTGGGTAGGCCCTTCCCAAATAGGACTGTTCCCAGAACTGCCTCAGCAGAGCTGGAGATGGCAGTGAGGTCTCCGGTCCTTACACCTGATGGGTGGTAGCAGCTCAGGAGTTCAGTGGCCCTCCCCAGGGTGGCATAGCCTACCGCCATGGTGCCGAAGAACAGCAGGCCTCACTCCCGGACCATTGGTTTTGCTTTTTATTGCCAAGTTCCAATTTACAAGGAAGTTCTAGCTTTCGAGGCTCCCTTGGGCTCAGCCCCCAAAGTCTAAATCCTGCTGGCAGAAGCAGGCACTTCCCTGGCCAGAGCTTCCCAGGCCTGCCCCACTTTGCAACAGTTCTTCACAGCTTCAGCGGAGGGAGGGAGGGAGAGAGGACGCATTTAACCTTCTACCCATGGTACTGCGTGAAATATATTTATTGCATCTACAAAAGACCAGACCTGGTTTACCCGTGCCTTATTTACAGCTGTGCGTGTCAGAGGCCACAGAGAAAGCCAGTGCTGTCCTTGGGAGGGATGCAGTCATCCAGCCCTGGCAATGCAAGTTTCTGGGAGGGTGCTAGGCTGGCTGCAATAGCAGAGGGTCGGCTCTGGGGGCCTCTTCCACCACCTCCACCAGACAGGGAGCTCACCACTACACTGAGTCTGAGCTGGGGGAAGGGTCCTGATGCCCCGCCTCCAAACAGGTCGGGGCGGTGCTGTGTTTCTCTATGGTGATAGTCAAAGCAGAGATGGAGGCCCGGTGACAGAAGGGAGAGAGACCAGGGCAGGCATGGTGCGCATGGCCTTAGAGACAAGGCTAATGGTTTTGAAGGCTGACTCTGGGACCTCCAGGTCAGCTCTGTGCCCTTCTGGGCCTGGTACCTCTCAGTTCTACCTCCCTGCTGACCGGGGAGACCTAATGTGTTCTTTCTGGCTGGGTCTGCCTGGGGAGCAGCTGGCAAGTTAGTAGGGTGTTCCTGAGGATTGGGTTGTGCCCATTGCCACCAAGAGCTAGGTGAGGAAACTGCTAGCTGCTTCCTCCAGGACCTCATCAGCAATGGGCCAAGGAGCTCCGCTCACAGGAAGTTCCCATTTGCTCACCTGGAGGTACCCCTGGGTGCCTGGCTACAGGAAGCCTTTGGGGACAATCTTCCAAGCTGTGGGGGAACAGGCTTGTCCTTGGTGAATATTACATGGCAGCTGTCCTTTCAGTGTTTGCTGACCACCTTGGTCATAACCTTTCCCCTTCCTTGGAACCTCCTGAGTGCAGAGAAGAGGCTAGTCACAGAGGGGGAGCCCACCTGCATGGGTGGGTTGGGGTGGCTGCAGGCATTTCTCTCATGACCGCACTGCAGGGAGGAGGAGAGTCACTTGCATTTTATAACATTTATGCTGTCCTAGCAACTGTCATCTCGAACCCCAAAGTGCCTGCTCCTCTGTCTAGCCCTCCCCGCGAATGACCAAGGAATACCCAGGGCTGGCTGTGGGGGCCCAGAGAGCCCCTCTTTTCAGTGCCATCACTCATCTCCCTTTCCAGGGGCTCTGCTAAACCTCCTGGGACAGCCTTTCTTGGCAGGCTGTAGGAGCTTCTGCCTCTGGGCACGCCCACCAGAGTGCTTTTAAAAACTGGAGAAGCCAGTGCACATGGACACCAGTCCCTCCTGGGGAGCACGGGGCTGCAGGAGGTGAGAGCCGAACAGGGTGGCAAGGACTTGGGGTGTGCAGATGGTGACGTGCCTCCCACAAGGGGACGCCGACACTGGGTGAGGCCACATCGGCAGGAAAGCCACCGAAGGCCTTCCCATAGAGCCATGAATCGTGGCTGGCTGGCTGCGTGCAAAGGCAGGCTGGGGGCTGACAGGAAGATATGGGTTTTGCTGGCACATGCCTAGAAGAATGGGATTTTCATACCGAAACAAGCTGTGTGGTAGTGGCAGAAACAGACAGTGGAGGAAGATTCTGCTTTTGGGTCATCTGATTTGCAGCTGGGCCTCTGGTTGGGCATCCATCTGCATACTGGGAAGCTGGTTACATCTGAGGATGACTTCCTGTGCCTTTGACTCCTGTCATAGCCACGTGGGCTAGGACCTCCATGGTCCCAATGGATCTTTCTTAGATGAAGAGAGAGGGTAGCAAGCCTGCTGGAAGCCGTGCCGATGTGGTGTCCTGAGCAGGGAGCAGATGTCACCCAGGTCACATGATAGCACAGAAGTTGGCCTTCTTGCTCCATATGGCCTGAGAGGGCTCAGGTCTCTTTTTGTTCAGAAGTATCTGAATGTTTCAGGGAGAGACTTTATCATCCCACAGACTTGTAGGATTGAGACAGAGAAACAAGTATCATTCAGGAAGAGAGGAAGTGACAGCCGCAACTTCAGAATAAAAACACAGACAAGTTCTACACAAGGGGAACCTAACGGCTGACACTTCTTATGTGACACCAAGTCTTAGGGTTTGAGGACTTTTTCTTTTTGCCCCTCCCCCAAATACTCTTTTTAAGTAAATCTCTTCACCTGTTGCCAAAACCAGAAATAAATAGCCCCAAAGAGACGTTTACCCAGGTGCATCTCTATGGAGTGCTACCACAGTAACCTGGTCCACTTGCGTGCACACTGGGAGTGAAGACAAGGAGCTGCCTGAAGGAGGGTGCCCCTGGGGCTGTCAGGATCAGAGATGGCCCCGGACCCCTCTGAGCTGGCCAATGCCGTCATTTGTACACAGGAGGCTGTCTCTGAGATTTGTACACACAGCCTGCTCAGGAAGAGGTCAGAGCAAATGAGAAACTCCAATGGTCCATGGCTGTCTTGCAGCAAGAGGTGTCAGGGACAGTTTCCAAGGCCATGGAGAACTGTGGGTGCTCCTGATGTGTCCTGCTGTCACAGACTGCACTGGAGTCCCTGCCGGCAGGCCACACACACAAAGGGAGGTCCCCGGGTGCCCACTCAGTGCTCTGCAGGACTTGCAGGCTCTGGGTATGCAGTATCCTCATCTGGGGTCTCTGTGCCTGCTGTGGCCAGTGCGGGGAGCTGGGGGACGCCAGTGAGGGCTCGGAGGCTGTGGGGATCGACTGGGGGCACAAGGGTCAGCGACTCAACACTTAGTGTGTCAGCACTGTCCTCGTAGAGCAAGGAGATGGTAGGCTGCTGCGCGGGGAGGAGGCTGGGGGACAGGTGCATGGTCTCTGCCTCAGAGCTCCTGGCCAAGTTCTTGCTGGGCTTGGAGTTGACTTCCACTTCATTCACAATCACCGCCTTGTCTAGAAGGTGAGGCTGAGGCTGTTCCGGAGTTGTGGGGGCATCTAGGGAAGGAAAGCAGAGACACTGTCAGCTCTGGTGACACTGCAAACACCTGGCACCGCTACTCCTGTCCTGCATCAAGGTAGGAAACCTGTGGGGAGATTGCTGGTCTTAGGGCCTGGCCTGGTTCCACCTACTCCTTTTGGGGACCCAGAAGCTGCTAAGTCTCATCTTACTTAGGCCTAGGGGAGTGTGTTGGGACCCTGGGTGCCTGACTTGGAACAGCAGGGAAAACTCAGGCCTCCTGTGAAATCAACCTGTAGATTGTGAAACCTGGCCTGGGCACTTGGTGTGCAGGGTAAGTCTGGGCCAACTGCCTGGTGACAAAATGTAAATGGAATGCAAACAGCCTGGGCTACACCTGCAACTCCAGGCTATTCCCAGAGGCTACATTTGGAGATATTTGCCAAGGAGTCCAGTGCAATGGTTAAAAACGAACTGATAGAACTTTCTCGTTTCTAAAATCTTGCACTGTCGTTGGCCTTGCCGCCTGCAGGCACTGAGTTAGCACCCACCAAGGGGATGATAGGCTGGTCAAGGCCACGACTGTAAGAAGTTTCCCACAAGGGCCATGAAGAGGAGCCATGAGCCTCCAGCAGATGGTTTTTGTTGTTGTTGTTGTTTGTTTGTTTATAAACCCTGTAGCAAGTAGACACACTACTGGCTACTTGCTTTTCAATGACGAGTCAGCCAGGAATGTGTGGCATTCAAGGGAAATACCATTTTCAGACGGTGATAGGAAGTGCTAGGAGAGTCACTTGGGCTGCACATTTATATTTGGATGGATTTTAGGGTTAACTGTCCTCGGACAGAAGATGGTGATTATTTAGCCAGCCCCTGGAGCCACATGAGGAGACTTAGGGGGCATATGGGATGCTGTTTTGCTTCAATGCTATTCTGGTTGAATTAATTTTTGTTTTCTCATTTAAGCCAAAATAAAACAGAAAAGCGAACGGAACACAGAGCCAAAGGATGGAAGCACGAAGAACAAAATAAAACCAGGCAACATGAAGAATGGGGTGGAGAGCAGAGGAGCCACAGGTGAAGGAAAGTGCACACCAACTCCCCCAGGGCACACCAGACTCCGGAGCATGGAATCTGAAGGGCCTAGTCAGTTCTTTCCTAAGGGCTTTACTTTCGCTTTTTGTATTGCTGGGGGTGAAACCCAGAGCCTCAGGCATGATGCTAGCTAAACATTCTTACCACTGAGCTGAGGTATAGCCTGCCCTTTCTTCAAAGAGAAAAAAGAAGAGGGAGAGAGAGTGGGTGAGAGGAGGTCTGGAGAAAGCCACTCCCTGTGGCTCTGGGCCCCTCCTTGCTGGAGGGGGGTGGGTGTCAGTGAGAACCGGTGCAGAGAGAGAGCCACGCGAGCTGAGCCCAGAAGCGCTGTGTTCCCACAGCCGTCAGTGCTGCTTTCTCCGGCCTTCCACGAACTCGTTCCATTGTGTGCCAACGCCTGTGAGCTGGGCTGGCTTCACATGGGTCCTTGTTGTGACCTTGTGGGAACCTGCCGTCTCTGTGTGGCACTCAGTGATCTCTACGACAGTTTTCCAATGGGTCTGAGCCTACCTTGGAACTCCTCCACGAGGAGTTCATGGCTAGGCAGCTTGGAAATGACTCACTGCAAACGGAACTGTCCTGCTGCTGTTGGTACTGGAGGGACCGGGATGCAGAAGCATTGCCCTCCTGGATCCTTACCTCTTTCGGGGTTCTCTATGGGGCTTTTGCTGATGAGAATAATCAGGAAGGCAGAAGGACCATAGTCAAAGCCATCAAAGTAAACAGGACAACTAACACTGTTACACAGGCAAATGGCTGTCTTTAGAAAAGTAACAACTCTGTTAAAAGGGCAGCGTTTTTTTTTTTTCCCACTTTAAAAATACTCCTAGTCATTTTAATAGAAGCAGAGAATGCCCTCTTGCTCCTTCCTTCAGTTGCTGCTGTTTATACTGGGAATACTTCTTGAAAATGGGCACCAAGTTCACATAACCAAAGGCAGAAGGAGAAGAGGGCAGGCTTTCCTGGGGAAAGTGCCGCAAGGCCACTCTCTGGTCAAAGGCTGAGCAGCAAAGGTGACCCGTGGACCTTTGGAATCTCTTTTCTGCTGATTCCAGAACGGCTACAAACTGGGCACTGGAAAGGAGGGGTTTGGACATGGGCTGGGAGGTAGAGCCATATCGAGAGAGGAGGCTGGGGGCCTCCAGCCTCTGCCTGTGAGTGCACTAGGAAGTATCTTGGCTGACCTCCACAGATGTGCTCTACAGCTTAGAGTAGGGCCTCACTGGTCTGTGTAAGGCAAGTGACAGCTTCCAGAAAAATGATATGGACTGGCTGTATATGGCTCGAAAGGCAGGCAAGTGCTGTGGGAAAAAAGGAAGGAAGGAAGGGAGGGAGGGAGGGAGGGAGGGAGGGGGGAAGGAAGGAAGGAAGG